GTCACAGATGTCCAGTAAATGTGTGAGGGGCCACAGGAAGCAAGGCTGGAAGGCACCTCCGCTGACATTCACAAGTACATGCCAGGGAAACGGATTACGCCTTCTCGTGGTCACAAACTGGTGGGCGCGCCCTTCAGTCTCGTTCCACCAGCACTGAATGAGCACTTTATTTATAGTTCCGCCATATGCACAAGCTCTGACCATGACGCCTAGGCTAGGCGCAGGCTTCCTGATATTTCTTTATTTCTTTGATTGGGATCAATGATAATTTGCAAAGATGCCTTAAATACATACAAGGACTGTCAACCTAAACCAGAAGTTTCTAGAGAGCACGTATTTGGCAAAGGGCCCCTCCCTTTAACTTGGTGGCCCTCACATGTTATGTGTATCAGAATCTCCCGGGGGAAGATGTGCCTCCAGAAAAGAAAATAGAGGTAAGGTTAAAGCAGACCGAAGAACAAGGCCCAGGAATGCGAATACCGGTTTGGATAAAGTTTACAAGACGACTAGCAGCTAATGGCAAACAGGAGGCTTACTACAAGTCACAGAGACACATCGAGGAGAAGAGTGGGCTGGCTCAGGCCAGAAAGCACGCGCTCTCCCCGCTCTGCTCCTGCGCCTGCCCTGGCCCACATCGGTACACAAGTCAGAACACAGCGATTTCGCTGGAGCCCAGAACAGCAGCAAACCATCGCCACCCCCACCCTCCACGTTGGACCCGGGGCAGCAATCCAAGACCAAACACTATTTCAAAGGAAACAATCTGAAGAAACTTTTAGCTCTCTAATTCTCTAACGACTTATGCCCAAAAGAAAATGCCACAGTGATTCCACGCTTTGAAAACAGTAGCTGCAGGTGCATATAAAAAGATATTTTACCCAAGTGAGACAGTAAAAGAACAGCCTCTCGTATAATAGCCATACTTGCGCACATTTAGTGACCATCAAGAAAAGCACCATTTTTTTAGAGCAAACAAAACTCCTTTTACGATACTCAAACAGCACTGTTCTTTGAGTGGGCTTTTTCATTTTTTACAGCGATCGCACCATAAACTGCGAGGCCTGGAGGACAGGCCGGCGCTCCACAATGCCAGTCGTCTCGTTCTGCGCCCCTCAACAGCTCCCCAGGTGGGCCAGGCGACTCCTCGCACAGGGCCCTGTGTGCCGCAACAAGCCAGGACCGGACGCAAAGGCCCTGACACCCAGGCTACTTCCCAGCTGCGCCGGAGGAATGCTGCCACCCAGGAAGCAAGGCTGATGGGAGACGCTGGGGGAAGAGGCTGCGCGGTGTTCCCTCTCCAAAGGAGCTAAGTAAGTTGCTTTTATCACAGAATAAATCAGTCAAAATAACTCATGATTATTTTAAGGCCTTGAACCTTAAATCAAAAGTAGACTGCTTATTAACATCTCTGGTGGTTATAACAGCATAGAAAAATCCTATCTCAATATATAAGTAGCAAAAGCTAGAGTCACCAAAATAACTACTTTAGGTATCTCTAAATATCCGTATCAAAATTTTGCATTGTGCTTTATAAACAAATTAGAAAAATCAATTACCACAACAGTGGGCAAGAAAGCACATCATCATTAAACTGTCAAACTAAAAATATAAAAAGAAATTTAAAATCAAAGAGTATTGTGAATCTGTTAATTCAGAGGAGAAAGTATTTTGTTTTTCTTTTTATTCACCTTGGGGCTTCAATGAGTGATGAACCACATAGACAGCACATTAAATTTTTAATTAATGGGGTCAATGGATAAGCTGAGAGATAGAAAGCAGTTTGCAAAAAAACTGAGAAAGGGAAAAGGTAAGACAACAATGACTAAATTCACAAAACAGAAATACTGCTCAATTTAAAGATGTAAAAATTATGAGTGGTAATATATATTAAAAATGATAGGGATTATTATTATAGCAGAGAAAATCTGAATTTTGTAGCACATTTCCCCAAAAGATCAAAAGCTAACAAAGGATGTATTTACACTTACTTCATCAAAGCAATTAACTTAAAGAAAGAGAAAGGCAGAGGATTGATAAATTGTACAACCAGGATTGACCAAAGCAATATTCTCATACAGCACTGCCACAAGTGTAATTAAACTTTTCATTGATTTCCTGGGATTCATTACATAGAATCATTTTACAATGCCAGGATCTCATCAAAGTGAATGTAATATATTCTTTCATTAATAACACTTGAAATTATATTTTATTTGGTAATCTCATATTCTGTCCCTTCACAAATACACATAAAATCAATGCTGCCCACGAAGCATGACCCATCCAACTGAGGCCCAGAGGCACTGCCTGCAGGCCCCAGGGTGACTGACTCCGGAGGCCAGGGAAGGGTAGCCTTCCCGTCCAACAGCGCCTGCGCCGTCCCCGTCCCTGCTGCCGGGTGGGGGTCCGGCCAGTGACCCACGCAGCCCATGCACGTTCACTAACAGCCGTGACGGCGCTTAGAGATGAAGGCGTCCTGACTCTGAGGCCCAAGTTTTCACAGCTCCAGCCTCACCGGTCGGTCGACCTCTTCTGAACCACAAGGCCTGGCTGAAGGCTGGCCAGGGCCACTGCCTTCCAGATCCTACCATTAACCAGATTAAAAAAAAACACCATCTCTTGTCTGCCTGCTTTCTCCAGGGAGAAGTTCTTAATGTTTGCTCTCTATAATTTAAAAAAAAAAAAAAATTATTTTGCAATAGTCACAGTTAGGCAAGTCCAGCTGGCCTGGAAGCACGCAAACACCCAATGTGAATTGCCCACGAGGGCCTCGAGGCCGAACTACAGCGGCCTCCCACAGCAGAGCAGTCCACTGGCCGGAAGGGACACGGGACCTCAGTCCAGAGAGGCACAGAAATGGGCTCTGCTGACCGCCTGGGAGCCTGGAAGACGCCCTGGAGCCCCAAGGAGAACCACAGCCCTAAGCAAACATGCTGATCTCAGGCTGGTAAGACTCAGCAGAGAATCCAGCCAGGCCCTGACTGGACTTCTGAAATAGTAACATTGTGTTGTTTTAAACTGCTAGTGTGTGGTAGCCTGTTTTGCAATAAGAGAGAACTCATACATACTGTAACAAGGATGGCATTTAAGAAAAGCCAGCCTACGGAAAACACAGAGGGCTGACCAGAGCGGAGGGAAGCCGACTCAGGGCTCCACGCAAAGGCGCTGCCGGGCACGGGGCGGGGCGCGGCGCGACGAGGGCCTGGAGGACGGCAGCGTGCGGGCTCGGGTGCAGGCGAGCATTTTGAAGGCGGTGGCATTTTATAGAATAAGTGTATGCGACTACAGCAAAGGAGTTAAACATAATTCAGGAACTCAAAAAATAATAAAATCTTAAAAGCAATTTAGGGTTAACTGGCCTAATCTCTGTCCTAATTTAAGAATCCATTCCACAACATTGCAGATGGATGCTATGTCTGAATCTGGCGACAGGAATCTCTCTCCCCCTGGGCAAACTCTTCTCTATAGAAGAATTCCAGCGGTAGGCCAGTTCTCTCTCATACCAAGTCAAATCAACCTCCTGGAGGTACCCACTTACAGAAGTCATTTCTGTCTTTTTGGGCACAGTCAATTAATTTTTGCTCAGCACAGGCCTTCAATCACACAAACGAAATAGGCCCACAGTCTGTGCTTCTCCAGACTAAGTGTCCCCGGTGACCAACCACCCTTGACTTCCACACTCTTGTCCACATCAAGGGACACCTTTTAGAGGCACACTGGTTTTTCACCCTTCACATAAGCACTCAGCACAATGCCTGGCAAACAGTAAGACCTTATTAAATGGCGTGCTTGGTAATCATTAAAATGTGGTTCTGAGAATTTGGATGACATATTTCTCTGGCTACTAAGCTTAGACTTAAAAGCGGTGCATAAGGGAAGTTGAAGAAACAACAAAGTATTTCAAAAAAGTGCCACACACCTCCGCCTTATAATCTACGTGACCTTTCTCTTGCTCTTGGGCCGTGACTATAAAGTAGTTCTTAATAAAATACGGAGTAGAGATGGCAATACAAAAATAAAGATAAGTAAAAACAAAACATACATTTATGAAGCACTTTACAATGCCACAATGTTTTTACATTTATTTAAATCTCAGAAACACTGCACTTCAAAATGGTGTATGAGGTGTACTCACCTCAGGGGTATGAGAAGAAAATGTGAAACCTTTCACTTACATTTGACTTTTCAATTCTTTCTTTAAAAGCACTCAGTTGGCATATCTTAAAATGAATATAACACATAGGTATAAGAGCAAATGAATTTTATTTATAAATATCCGTACATTTTCTTATGTAGGACATGTATATACAATAGTATAAATATTATAAATATATATGCACACTTAAAACTTCTTACTGATAGAGCACATGACTAACACACTTGGGAGAACCCTGCTCTAAAATAAACAGCAAGGCAAGCAAAGTAGACATTAACAGTTGATTTTACACATGGACATGCACGTGCCGGTCCGCGGCAGTGAACCCAATCTAGGATCTCATCCCAGTTTATGCGCAATATTGGGCTCTCTGCTTTAGAGACATTCTTTAACAAGTATTCCAAAGACTCACTTTCCAAGGAAAATTCAACCAAATGAGGGAAAGATACACAAACGCACACACATACACACAATCACCTAGCCAGTCACAAAATCAAAAACCAGGTCCGTAAAGCTTCGGCAGCACTGTAAGCCTGCACACAGCCCGCAAATACATGTTTCTCACACCACAGGCTTCAGGGGGAACTGCAAGGAGGCGCGGAGCGCGCAGCGCCGGGGGAGGGGCCCCGTTGCCGGGGCCAACGCGGCTGCACCGGCGGGGCTCTGCCGCCCACCTTCAGGGCTGTGCAGGCCCTGGAGCGCGAGCTTGCCAGCCTCTCCGGTTCTCACCGCAGAGCACACTTTCCCAAGCAGCCGTGAACCATCTGAAAGGTTTTTGCGTCTTCTCCAATATGCAAGAGGGCTCTTTTGAAGAAGCAGCTCAGTCAAAAATAAATTTTCTTCTGTCTGTGCCACTGAGTGACAGCTGCCACTGGCACAGTCCCAGGCAAGCACGCGCTCAAGGGTTTTCTTTCAGCACCAGCTACCAAATCCCATCCCCACTGTCCGGAGGGGGGGCCTGTGAAAGTGCTAAGGAATAAATTTTTTTTTAAAAAAGGCTCGATACTTTGAGAACTATTGATCTCTGAGCATAAGCATAATGGAGGCACTCTATTTCCTTTCTGAAATCATCAATTAACAACAACCATATGGATTATATTTAAAAACTGTTCATCTACATCCTGCCTCTATCTCTGTCTTTTAATGCCTCACTATTTTTTTTAGCACTGGCCCCAAAAGAATTAAGTGAAAAACAAAGCTCCGATAAATCAATTGGGGTAATTATCAACTCTGATAAAAGATTTGGCAGAAAGATTAAAACCACTGGCTAAATGAATTTGATTCTCTATAGATTTTAAATTACCCTTGTGATGTATTATAGCTCATTATCCTTGATAGTGGATACAGTGCAATATTATTGTATTCCAAATCCTACAAACCCGAGAGGCATTCTCTCTAAGGCTCTTTTGTATACAAAGCGGATAGAGAGTAGGCAGTTAATAAATTTGTATGTGGTTTTGTTTATGTAGGTGTCCAAGCAAGGGAAAGGCTTTTTTAGTTGATCTCAAAGTTCTAAATTATATAACTTAATTAAGAGGCAGGAATCAAGTCTCTTCTGATTTTCAAATGAGCATGTATTTTTTACTTCATAGCTGTACTTGTGATTTCCTCCTCTCTCTTCATTTCTATTAACACCTTAAGCTTCAAATAGTTCAATTTCTAATTTGAGTTTTTTAGGCTCCCTGGCTTGGCAGTGTTCTGTGAACCTCCTGACACAGGCATCTTACCCACACTTATATCAAAGAAGGTGGTAATTCTGACGCCTATTGTTAAGTTCAGATGAAAAGTCAATTGATGAGAGATGTGGTATTTTTTTCCTCAGCCACATTAAAGAGTATCAATCAGAGGTACCTGATTACAAACCATAACCACTTCTGGTTAAAAGATAAGACTTTATACAGATTTTTTAATAACACAGCTGCAAAACTAAGAACTTATGGTATCTTCCTGTTTTCCTTTTTTCTTTTCTTATAGCTAATGACCGAAGCTGGTATGAAAAATCCTAAAACCAAACTAAAAGTTGTAACTTCAAATTTACTGAGTAACACAGTCACCAGAATGAAACATTTAAGTATGATCACTAAGGCAATTAACCAGGAAGCATTTGGTTTGCATTTATAGTCAGCATTCAGAAAAGGGAAAGAAAATACCTATCACATCTGTTTAAATACATACATAAATAAAATCTGTTTATAGATAAGTTAATTATGTAACACTGAAAGAAAGCCTAAGATTGTTTTTCCATTGTTTTTAAGCTTTTCTACTGTCGTCTTATTTTTAGTTTTCTTCCCTTCTCAATAAAGAAACATTTCTTCTCAATATACTTGATAACCAACACTTTATATCTTGTATAATTAGCTTAAAAGCTTTTCCATAAAACAGAAGCCCGTCAAACTTTTAAGAAGTGGAAACACGCCTTTTGAAAAATGAGTTTGGCAAAAAGGAATTGTCTGTTGTATAGTTTTCACTAAAATAGTGAAGTATTTTCTCAGTTTCTTATCAAAATTGTCACTGTCCAGACAGCAAGTATTTTATGATAAATACTTAAAATAATAAAGAATTAAGATTAAGCATTCACTTAGCGTTCTGATTTTGACAGTATTTAGTGTGTATCTAATTTTATTATTTTATACAACACATGTAACAGGTCAGGAAAATGAACCTACTCGTTCATTCTTCATGTCTGGACATAAATGCAGACATATATTAATGTATCATTATTTTCTTTTTCACTGAGTACTTTCATTTACTCTGGGTAACCAAATAGTTATGCGATAATAATGGCTATGTTATTACTCTAGACATTCAAGAAAACTTACTAGCAAGAAAAGTCTTTTATATACTTTTAAGATGATGAACTACTGAAAAAACTCCCTGAATGGTGCTGATGTCCCTTTAAGTGAAACTGACAATCCATAATCATCATTTGCCAAACCCAATAGATGATTAATTGATAACATTTATATTCCCTACTAATCTGAAAAAAAAAAAAAGTCTCCTGGGTGAGGGAGGACCAGATCATTTAGAATAACAAAGTCACGTTGTTGAGGATCCCTCTGACCTTCAAGGGGTAACTTTTAGAGAAAAACATAGGGCCATTCCAATTCCCCAGTCATGCTGAGTACAAAATAAGGTAGCATATTAAAAACTTCAGGACACAATGACAACAGGTGAAAGCGTTGGGAACTACAAAGCTCAGCAGCCTGGAGTCACCTGGAACATTACCTTTCAGTCACCACTAAGCACTCCATTATGTAGTACAGTAAAATACAGCAGGCCCTTGACTGAATAAGGTCATTTAGTCCAATGACCTTTCGTTACAACGTTGATCAGGAAAGGAAATCAATTCAAGCAGGGGCCGCTGTCTGTGTGGAGTGTGCATGTTCTTCCCATGTATGCGTGGGTTTCCTCCCACACCCCAGAGATGTGTGTGGGGTGAACTGATGTGTCTCAACTGCCCCCGTCTCAGCGAGTGTGTGCGCGTCGCCCTTGGAGGGAAAGGCGTCCATGCCAGGGTGGGTCCCGCTCTGTGCCCGGAGCTGCCCAGATATGCTCTGGCCACTGTGACCCTGCACTGGAATACAGTGAGTTGGAAAATAATTCTTTCTTTTTTAAACTAAAAACTAATTTTATTTTAATTGATATTTTATTAATATTTACTATTATTGAGGCAATGTATCCAGTATGTATGCTTAAATATATGTATAGCTCACATTTATTTCAAAGTTTAATATTAGAAGTGTTTTGGGTTTTCATTTAGAAGTTTGGTGATTTCTATGACCAGAACTTAACTCCTGTTTATATCAATTAGCCTACAGGAAGACTGGTTTTGTTATATTGTTTTGCTTAAAGTCACAGCTTCCAAGAACCTATTGATGACATTAAGCGAGGACTTACTATAATTGATTACTTATAATTAAAAAGGCTAATCTGTTCAAAATTCTGCACACAGTGGCATCAATGTTGGTACCTCAGTACTCATTGTTCATTCATTTCAGAACTCGAGATGAGTGCCAAAACCCACGAGTACCAAATGATTAAGTATTTTCTTTTGCTGGGCAGTGTGGTGACTCATACAAGTTTTGGCAAGTGCAATGGGTCCTGAGCAAGCCCTCAGTGACAAAACACCTTTTTTCTCGGCAAAACATGATGAGTGCAGGGTTTGACGAATTCTGAAGCTGACAAGTACCAAGGTATGACTGTACTTTTTATTCCACTGAGCTTCTATTTTCTGAGCACCTGTTATGTGCAAGGCATGAGCAAGGTCATTGGGATGCGGCAGTCACCAAGGGGGACGTGGCTGCTGCCCTCCTGGCACGCACACACCAGTGACAACCCAGACAAGCCAACAGCACTGCACCACAGCGTGGCAGCACTTCCGCAGATGGAGTCAAGGAGGCCAGCGAGAATCCAGAAGGGCTTCCTAACCTTAGAAGGCTTCCCAAACCGATGTCAAAGTCAAAGACTAAGGATAAGGAGGAGTCAGCCTGGTGAACAGTCAAGAGGGTGAGGTGTAAGTAAGTGCTGGAGGCAGAAGGCACAGCAAGCACAAAAGCCACAGGGTGAGAGAGCATTCCAGATAAACATGTGCGTTCCCTACAGACAAAATAGAACAAGCTGTAAATACTGGTAAAGACGCATCCTTGTATTGTTTTACAAAACATTGATGTTAGAATCCCTCTTTTCATTCTTAACTCCAAATTCACAACCCCCCTTTACAATATAAAGAAATAAAATTACTGAATAAAAAGTTTTTAGTACTTAAAGAGCCTTGTAACATTATTTTAAAATTCTATTCTGTGTTTCATTCCTTAATCTTAATAGATGAGGTGCTAACATACTTTGCTTTGAACTGGGACCAAGCCCTTGAAAACACCCCAAAACTATAACAAGGCACCTGGCGCACCGATCCTGACTGAGAAGCAATCACCTGCTCCCCTCAGAGACTCTGATACCACACTCTCCATGGAGGAGGAGAGCTGCTTGGGCTTGTAGAATCTAAAAGGACTCCCAGATGTCACGCTGATGGAGCCATCTGCTGATGGGAGGTCGGGGGGGAGAAGAGACCGGTAAAAGCAAAGGCAATGACAGGTGAGAATTCGGATCAATTGCATTAGCAGGAAGTTGCGGAGTTCCCACTTGATCAGAACTCGACCTCCACTTTTGTTAGAAATGGGGAGCAACGTAGTTTGCTGAAGAGGAGGGTGGGTGGGGGAGACGGTGCTGACTGAGCTGTCCAAATAAGAAGTTCCTCAAAGCACGTTCTGGGACCACTCCTGACAAGAAGATCGTTAAAAGACAGATTCCTAGACCCCACTCCAGACCCTAAGTAAAGGAGTCCAGGGAGATGAGGCCCATAAATGTGCATTATAACAAGCATTCCCAGCATCTCAGATAGCAAAAAAAGTGCTAGGGCCACTGCAGACAGTGAAGTACTCTGGGCTGCCGGTGGACTCTGCAGTGGAGGCGAAAGCTGAGCAAGAGGCCAGGCCCTCAGGACCGCTGGGGCGCGGCAAAGCCCGAGGCCAGTGGATGGTGCCGCCTGGCCCGTACCCTCCTCCAGCCAAAGTCTCACCAGCAGCCTAAACTTGTACAATGCAGACATATACTTGAGCTAGTTGGCTCTTCTCTGTTGCACAATCCAGTACTAACAATCCCCAGCACAAACTAGGAGTCTCAAAATGTGTATTTGATTAACAAGATGATAGAGAATAACTGCTAACAAATCAGGATACATCTATCTACAACCACTACTGGAGAAGTAAATGTCGAGTTGGCAAATCAGTCTTCATTTAAATATACTACATATGAAGTGCACATGTGAGGCTGTAGTCCCAGGGCAGACTAAGGGGTGGTGTTTTATTTTCTTTGGGAAAATGGGAAGTGATGAGACTGGCAGCCTCATGTCCCTCTCCTAGAAAGGAATGCACTGCAGAAGGAGACAGCGCTGTGGGCGCTATGAGGACACAGAGA